TAAAGCTTTATTTCTGATAAAGTTTTTTATGAATTGGAACACATCCTTGTAGTGAGAACCAATGGTATTGGAATTGTCCCATAAAACGAGAATATCTCTTTTGCAATCTAAAATTTTATAAGATGATTTGTTCTAATGTAAGCGCGCGTCTTCTAAATAAAATGAAGCTAACAAACATGTATATTAAAATTGGAAAAGTAAATGGCATTTTATGTTTTTTCAACATTTGGCTAAACAAGGCGATTGTTGCAGTTTCAATGTGAACAATTATACAGGGTAATATTTGTATATAGGCACACGTAAATATTATTTATCTGAATTTTTTAAGTTTCTAACCCTCTTTTAAGTCGTTTTTTTTAAAAATATCAAAGCATAGGGTGTCTTTTTGCTAATTTTGAACCTGAAATGCAATTGTAACTTCTCTGGATGACGGTGTGAAGAAAGTATATGTTGGTATGACAGCAAAGTCTTTTAAGGACTTAATTCGATATGAAACAGAAAATGAACTGTCTAAATATATATGACAACTTTAGTTTAAGGAAAAAGATTTTTCCATCCACTGGTCAATTCTTAATCAATCAACACCCTGTGCTCCCGGTAACTCACGTTGTAATCTTTGTATTGAAGAGAAACTTTGTATTATGAAATCAAACCATAAAACAAAATATTTACGAAGGAAATAAGAAATTTATGTAATGTGATTTTATAAATAGACTACTAAGGCAAGGTGTACCCCCAAGGGGATACGCCTTGCCGACGATAATTAAAAATCTTATATTATGGGCTTTGCGTCCAATCTAAAAGACCGACAGGTAATGGATGGCACGCAATATGGGAAAGGTGGTGAATGGCCAGCAGCAAATCGAAAACTAACAAAGACCGAATACCCAAACCACAAACGGTCAGTTTAAGCGTGACATCGCAAAAGACAGAGCTCCTTTAAAGTTGAACCCACCTCCTCCCCAAAGCCTCCGCTAAAAATTATGTACATTGGACGATTTACCGTAACTGATATATATAGAGGAAGGAACGTTATATCTTAATTAGTGATGGTCGTAGGCCGTATCTACAGGTGCTGGCGGTAATTTGCCTCCACCCTTTTCTGAGCGTAAATATTTGGAATTTTAATGCAATGTATTAATAAATATCGTTTTGTTTAACAGAAATAAAGCGGCTAGGAGAACCATTACTCCTAGCCAAAATTATCCCAAAACGGCGTAAAATTTAATGTGTCTTTATTATGCTCAGAAAACTGAGCTGCGGAAAGGGTATGCAAAATTCATGGCTGGCAATATATCTATATGCGTAAATAAATCACATTACATAAATACTTATTAGTAAGCGATCGGAGCTGTTCATGTAAATGTCTCCACAATGACCAAGGTGCGTGCATGAATGGATGGATCAAAGTATATATAATTATATAATAATAATATGGCAATGTTTTACACGAAAACAAATTATAAATGTCTTACAATATCACATACCATCAGTATTGTCATATGAACTGTAAGCCCCACTATTTTGAGCAAACAGGCTTAATAGTGTCAGCCACTGTAACTTCATCGTCACTATCCAGAATCCAATGCTTCGGTCTTTAATTTTTGTCTTGCTCAGTCTTGGAAGAGAATGCTTTAGACACTTCTCTCGTCGAATGGCAATCAGCTGCTAACAGCGTGCTTTTATAATGTTGATTGCATCACCTTTTAAAATTTTAACGTGGGGTTTCGTCGATAGATACAAACGTGCGTCGTAGTTTCGTATTGAGGAGGCGGCAAAACCACTTGATTGCATGTAACTTGAAATAACGATTGCACTCAAGAGTTGGCGCGGCAGGGTCAAGATGTTAGGTAAAAAAAACGTTGGGAACTTAATTGTGAAGGAATTTGCATACAAATTGCCTCTTCATTTTGCCGATGGATTGGGATTTTTAGCATCGTCATTCAGATCATTTTTTGATGAAATATGCTTGAGATTTGGAGCATTCCTTCCACTTAATCATTTGCCTAAATGAAGTACGTATTATCTATCACTGGCTGGACCAACGTAGCACGTAGCGATATTACAGAGACCTGGCAATTCAAGTGACAGCACAAAAGTACTTCCGCAACAGACTAAGCAAAACATGCCGCATTCTTACTTCTATAGCAATCTTCCAAATATAAAAATTTGTCGCAGTTTTTTATCAGTTTTTTATTTTGCTAAGGGAACTTTGCCTAGGTTTCTAACTTTGCCTATGATTAGCGCTAATTACATGTTAACCATAATTAGTTAACTACACGACATAACTGCGTTGCCCAAAACGTAATTAGTCGGATGATTAACTCAGGGCCGTAGCTAGACCGCTTAATTGGGGGGGTGTATATTCATATATTCATGTTTGTATACCGAAGGAACAATAGCATACAAAAGAAATCATTCGGGCATAAGACGAATATATGAATATGCACCCCCCCAATTAAGCTTCTAGCTACGGCCCTGGATTAACTAATCACGCAGTTAACTTGCGTGTACGTGGAGCTTTCGTGGGGATGTTAAACAGAGAAATAACATGAAGCACCTCGAAATTATTGAGTCAAACTACCGGTTGCAGTTGAGAATGGAGATAGTTAATCTTTGCTATATAGGATCGTAATTAGCCATCGACGCGTCTCCCGAAGCAAAAATATACTCTGCTGCTGCCCAAATGAAAAAAAATAAAAGCCTATTAGGTGACGTTTTTGGGGTACTAATTTTTTCAAACGGGTTTTAAAAGTTATAACAGACTGTGGCCGTTATGAGGTCTCGCGCTTGCGGTTTTAAGAAAAAGTACCCCAAAAATGGCGGCATATTCCGGCGTCATCGTGAGAAAGGCTAATTGAAAGTTTACAAGCTTCGACGGGGCCTTTTTTGAGTGTTAATTTTAATGTTTTCTCACTCCTCAAAAGCTCAAGACGCCATTTTTAATTTCGATTTGAAAAGTTAACGATGCCCGTGAGGATAGTTAACTTTAACTACATTTTAACTGCAGTTAAGCGTATCGTATTTTTCGGCAACCTAAGACGGAGGTTTTCAAAAACGCTCTCCAGTGTGGAGTTTTTCGAAAACGCCGTTTTCGTGTTCGGCGGGCGTTGATAATGACGTTGATAATCGGATCTAATCTTAAAACAGGCCATTAACGGCGCGCGTTTTTTGTATATTTTTGAGATAGCGAACCAAAATTGCTTGGCTGATTTACTTTGGCCAATTTCAAGTCTAATAGCATGCATTCAGCTTCATGTTATTATGCTAAAGCTCCACGGAGAGTGTTTAAAAAAGAGAATGAATATGATGAAGATGCTTCCCGTGTCACCTGCTAGACCACGAAGATTTTAGTTTTGGTTGTTCCTTTTGTTGATCTTAATTCAAGAAAGAGCGAGCATAAAGCGAAACCAAAGCAATTCAAAGCATTAACATAGTTGTTATCTCATATTACTTGCTCTAATGCGCATGCTCTAAGCATGGCGTGTATCAGGTTTCCTTCGTTTTAGCGTAAGTGTGGACGAGCAAAACGATTCGAATACTTTTCGTGTGGACGCGAAATTTTTTAAAAACTGAGAAAAAAACCTCCGTTTTTAAAAATATCCCGATACGTGTGAATATTCTCACGGCTACACGTACAGTCCACATGTATGCGCCGTTGTCTCCCACTGAAAACGGAAGAATTTGAAAACGCAAGAATATTCTTACGGTTACACGTACCGTCCACACGTACCCGGCGTTTTCGCCCACTGAAAAGGGAATAATCTGACAACGCTATCCAGAGTGGAAGAATTTAAAAACGATGGATGAGCGGATATGTGTTGACGACTTTGCCACAAATTTGAAAGCATGTCACGTATCAAATCATTTCCATGTTTATGAGGCTTGTTTCAAGTCTTGTGGCTTATGCTCAACTTTATATTGCTATATATATTAGCATGAAATTAGTCTTATTTAGGTGAGTGAAATCTTCGCCAATCCTTTTAGCATTTGTGGAAGTATTTTACGCCAGGAACTTGTCGGAGTATGGTTATACACCGCTTTTTATACACGACACGCATTTAATAGATATCTAACAACAACATTTAGGAGTTCGGGCTTGTCGTCTGTCCAAAGATCTCATTCTTCTTTGTTTTTTTTTGGTTTTGGTAGATTTTCGTTTAGAATTGGACATCCAACCCGTGACACGCGGGTGGAAAACATGAAGGTATACTACTCCTTTTGTGTTTATGTGTATGGACGCGGAGAAAAATTTTAACGGAGAAATACTTTTGTGTTTTCAAATTGTTCTCGCATCGTGTAAACGGGGTAGACAATGGAAGTACATTTGTACCACGACACGATTTCTGGCTTGCGATGCATACTTCTTCAGTTCATTCAATTTTGTTCAGGTTAGTATTTAAAGTGTCACATTTACACGTGTGTTCATACGTTCACATACGCCAGGGTATGAATCGTATACGACAAATCGCATAGTGTAAATGGGCCTTAATAACATAATCTTCTATATGTAACACTCAATAACGGAAATCCTTGCGCCATACACATACATAATACTTTATTTACACACGCTATATATATATATATATATATATATATATATATATATATATATATATATATATATATATATATATATATATATATATATAGCCTCATCAGCATTGCTGAGGGGCGTATTTGCATTAAGAATATATGAGCAATACAGATTACATAGAACATTCTGTACAGGGATAACAAACAGATTTAGTCAACAAATAGGCAATAGACAAAGAACGATATGAGAATGAGAACAGGTCAGCTTCACCTCAAAATAGATTTTATTATCCGTTTAAATGATTGAATAGAATCGGCAGTTTTTGCTTCAAATATATCTTCAAACTCTTATTTGGTATAAGACGTCGCTCTAAAGTTGTTAAAGTCGGCGTACTTGATCACGTCTCGTTAACGTGCATTTTTGTCATGACGTTTACGACTTTACGGAAATACAAATACTTCTTGGGATCCTTTATTCCGCCCCGTACAGACGGACAAGTTTTCCTTGACAAGCTTTCTTGATCAATTTCACTTAATTTCGCTCATGTTTATGGCGGACAATTTTTCATTGACAAGTCAGTTTTCTAGACAAGTTTTACGATAATATATGTCAAGTATGTTTACGACAATAATGATAAAACGAGTATACGATCGAATCTCAAAACAAACGGAGATGATAAAACTTCCATGCAAATACCGCTCAATTGGCTCGAGGATATTGTTGCCCAGCAGTAGGAATACTTGAAAAGCTGGCATGACTAGCTTTTGAACATAAGGCCCCTTGTCAAGGAAAACTTGTCAAAGTTAGTCTGTAGTTAGTCCGTAGAATAATGACTATTTTGCAGGCATATAACGATAAATATTAAACAAAAGTTAAACAAAAGCCAGGAATACTTAATATTGCTACTTCAGCATTTGTATCATGGAATGTGTTGGGATTCTTCTTTATCCTTAACACTGCATGTTGTTTGGAATTTGAATGTCGTTATTGGTATAGAAGGTACATTTTCCCATCGAAGTCCCATGCATTGTTATTTTCAACAATCTTTGTAAATCAAACCGGCCAAAATAAAAAAATCGAACAAGAAATAAAAAATAAGAACTATGCATTGGCTTGTCACATTTGAACTCGGAAGCTTTAATTCCGATCTTTTTCAAATGCAGCAAACCTGGAAAGCATGGTTTTTACTGTGTTCCAGGCAATATATAGCTGTCATTTTGTATAATACATGCAATGAGATATGCATGTTTTTTTGAAAACGTTATTCCTGATTTTATCTACAATTTAATACCAAAGTGCATGGCTTTGGTGGGCAAGTGAAGTGACGTTTTTTTAACACGAGTTTTTTACTGTCTATATTACTTTTGCAAACGATGTTTTTGTCTTGAACATCCAGTCAATATCGTATAACTTTGCTCATGGCCGCTAAGACCCCGTGCCGGTATTACAGCGGATAATGTCCACCCGCGAATAGTGTCCCCCATGTTTTGAAAGTCCATGTGAATATTCTTGCGTTTTTAGATCCTCCCCCTTTTCAGTGGGCGAAAACGCCGCATACATGTGGATGGTACGTGTAACTGTGGGAATATTCTTGCGTTTTCAAATTCTTCCGTTTTCAGTAGGCGAAAACGCCGCATACATGTGGACGGTACGTGTAACTGTGAGAATTAATATTCTTGTGTTTTCATTTTCTTCCGGTATCGTGTGGACGTGGTAGATTATAACTTCAGCCACTCCATATCGTGTCAGTAATTCGTTGAGAAAATCTGCCACACCAATAGCCGCTTTATCCTTTAATGGTTTCGCTTCTGGCCATTTGCTGAAGCTGTCGGTGCATGTCATGAGATACTTGTTACCTTGAGGAGTCTAGAACGTTAAACAGTACTATAAGGAATATGAAAAACAAACGAAATCACTAAAAAAACAGACGTTGGGACATATGAGCGATCAAGTATACTTTACGTACTTCGGGTAAAGGTCCAATAAGGTCAATTCCAATGCGATGCCATACTTTGTTCTGGACTGGAATAGGATGTAGAGTGGACGACTTTTTGAAATGTTTGTTATTGCGCTGACATATGTCGCAGGTTCTTACAAACTCAGCACAGTCTTCAGAAACGGATGACCAGTAATACCTTGTTGCAGCAAACAGAAGAACACGTAAGTACACAAACCCATATACATCAAAGGAAAAAAGGCGCAAATAAAAATATTGTATATTCACCTTCTCTCTTGTCTTGTCGCGACCAAAATGTCCAGCTAATTGACTTGAATGACATGTTTCTAATATCTGTTGCTTGCTTAGGATCCGTCATCCATCGTCGAAGTTGAGATTCCTTCTTTTTCCCTTTGTAGAATAATATCCCGTCTTGAGAGTCTTGGGATCTCCGTTTCAAGCTGCGTTTTAGGGGTTTCGTAAACTCATCCGGATATTTCTCATTTCGTAGATATTAAAGATTTAAAGATTTATTAAAATGAACACTTTTTTGTAACCTTAAAACGGTTAAATTACAAAGGTTCTAAACAGGATAGGTATAATAAGATGTTACATAGTAAAAATGGTAAAAATAGTAAGATATTTTACTGTAAATTATTTACTTTTAAGATTACTTATTACTTACTATATTGTAAAAGAGATTCTGAAATAGGAAATGTTAAAAATTATCATAGGCTAAATTTACTTTGTTGTAGCATCACTTGAGGTAAAAAGGATTTTTTAAATCTATTTGTTTTACAAATATAATTATTATATTTGTCCGCAGATCTCATATCGTATTTAACTATCTTGGGTTCCGGAAATACTTCAGTTAATAGAGCGCAACATTTGTTCTTCATAAAGAACTGTTCACATAGTTTTTGGCGGCGATCTTGTAATGTGCTAATGTTCAAAGTTGTCAAGGCTTCACTATACTTTAGTGATGGCTCTATTATTTTCAAAGCTCTTTTTTGAACTCTTTCGATGTCGTCGCTTAGAAAATCTTGTATGTTATAATGCCATACCTGGCAAGCGTATTCTAATATTGGTCTAATAACAGTTACGTAAATTGTTTTTAGGGTCTCCAGCTTGGCATTAGATCTTCTTAATAATCTCAACATGTATAGGCGTTTACTTGCCTTCTTTATAATTTTGTCAATGTGGATGTTCCATTTCATATTACTTTGAAGTGTCACGCCCAAAACTGGTGCTGAATCTACACGGTCAATTGGCATATCATTTACTTTTAAGGGTGGAAAAAACCTTTTCTCAATACCAAAATCAATTATGAGTTCTTTACATTTCGAAATGTTAAGTTTCATACTGTTTTTTATGGTCCAGGTAGAGATATCATTGACTATTTCTTGCAGGTTAGATATACCGTTAGGTTCAATGCATTCGCTGGCACTTGTGTCATCGACGTATTTCCATCGATCTTTCCAGTCCTCAAGTAGGTCGTTTATCATTACCAAAAAGAGAATTGGCCCTAATACTGTCCCTTGTGGTATACCTCCATTAACCTTTTGCCATTCGGATACATAGGGATTTATTCTTACGCGTTGTTCCCGATTGGTGAGAAAATTACGAATCCAATTTATTATAACTTGTGGGACTTCCAATGACATGAGTTTACTTAAAAGAAGAGCATGGTCGATATGATCAAACGCCTTCGCAAAATCAAGTAGGAAGAGTCTTATTACGTTCCCAGAACTATCCGTTTTACTTAGAATATGATGAATCAAACTCAGCAGCGCATGAGTTGTTGATGTCCCTTTTAGCGAACCGAATTGTCTTTTATCTATCTTATCCCAGATCGAATTGATTAACCAATCGGCGATAAATTGCTCGCAAATTTTTACCATGGACGCCGTAAGGGAAATTGGACGTAGGTCAGTATGGACGTCTTTTAGATGTTTCACTTTTTGAATAGGGATAACGTCTGCTTTTTTCCATATGGCTGGGACCGATGATTGTCGAATTGAGGCATTTAGAATGGAAGCCACTGGCAAAGCTAACACCATTGCATTTGACTTGAGTACCCAATTAGGAATATCATCTGGCCCTGATGACTTTGACGTGGAAACAGAGGACAGTTTATGATATACATCAATTTCATTTATCATAAATTTGGAGGAAATTTCATCTTGGTTTTCAGCTTGAATGTAAACTGGAGTAAAAGTTAATGGAACAAAATGCTGAGTAACTGAGACAAATACATTATTTATTTTTTCAGTAAGTTCTTTTCCGTTAATGATTTGGTCATTGACTACCATCGTTGAAGGGGATTTCTTTTTAGGATAAGCAGCTAGTTGTTTTACAGTGTCCCACCATTTTTTACTATTTTTTCCAGATTTTAAGTCTTCGAGTTTCGATTTAAGGAAATTAGCTTTTAGTTTATCTCCTTCTCTGTTAACTCGGTTTCGAAGTTTGCGGTAGAGAACACTATCGCCCTGGTAAAAAGCTCTTTGCCTTTTAATTATAAGGTCTTTATATTTCGGAGTAATCCAGGGTTTATCGTTGATGTGCAATTTTACCATTCTTTTAGGAAAAAAACAGTCGAGGCCATAGGATATTGTATTGTAAAAAATGTCCAGTTTTGCTTCGCACTGCTCGGTTTGATAGAGCTTTAACCAGTTTACGTTCGCTAGCCATTTCGAAAAGCCTTGTATAGAACCTGGCTTTCCGCGCCTCACTTGCTTTTTATTAAACTGGTTTCCTTTATTAATATTCTGAACTGTACATAAGACTGAATTATGGTCACTATGGCCAACCGGTGCTACGATTTGGACTGGATCACAAAATGCTGACATATTTGTGAGAATTAAATCAAGAGTGGCGTTGTTTCTTGTTGGACATTTAACAACTTGTTTCAAAGTGAAGTTCCGTAACAAGGATGAAATTGGGCTCCTGTTAAAATCACCAGTCAGAAAAATGCCAGCATTTGGGTACAATACTAGAGCAGAATCGAGCTTCATTGATATATGTTTAATAAAATCCTTTTTATCACCGTTGGGAGGAATATATGCTACACAAACTATCAGACAGGAGAAGCCACGAGTTAACTTATGTGGGCGTAAGTAAATCCATAATGTTTCGAATTCGTCGTCATGTAGTTCATTTAGCACTCTATACGGGATATGCTGATTAATATAAGCACAGACTCCCCCTCCGATCTTTTTTGATCTGTCGTGTCTGACAATAGAATAATTTGGAATCTGAACTACAGCGTCATCAATATTCTCATTTAACCACGTTTCGGTAACAAAGGCTAGGTCGACATTATACAATTTCAATATTATTTCCAAGTCGTCAACTTTTGGCTGCAATGACCTTACATTACTTAAAAATAGACAAATTTGGTCGTTTCGGCTACTCGTAGTGATCGAGGATGACTGGTTCTTGGGAAAGATTTTAATTAAGTTACTGGGATGGATTGCGTAGTTTTTCGCACGAGGTAGAGGTAGTTGAGCCAATCTTGTTGCGCAGTTACAGGTGACCAATTTAGGGGAAATCTCCTGGGTGGGTTCATGGGTTGAGAAAGACTCAGGTACTTCGGCTGTCGGAATGCACGAGGGATAGGTGGTCGCTTCCGAAAAAACTCCCCATTTGTGCCATTGAATTTTCTCCCAAGCTTTTTTGATGTTTTTCGCTTTCGTTGCGGGTGATCTTTACGTTTTGTAATTCTGATCGGAATGGGTAGTTGAAGAGTACTTGCACGCTGTACTTGCTCATAGTTTTGCTGAGTATTATCACGACGAATAGGCAAGACTTTATCATTGGAACAATCTCGATGGCCATTCGAAAGCTGTTGTTGGTTGTGGCAGGGGACTGGAGAGATTTTAGAAGGTGGCACTGCAGATTGAGACTCGTCGTTTCCTTGATCTATATCACGACGAGTAGATTGTAGGATTAAATCTTCGTCGTTCAGAGGGCCTTGTTGGCTATTTAATGGCTGGGGTTGGTTTTGGCAAGCAGCTCGTTGAATCATGACGATCGACTCTACAGACTGAGGAGTGTTGTGATCAGGGCTATTATCATCATTATTAATTATACGACTTTCATTTCCTTTTCTCACTTCGATGTTTGTATGCACGTTGGTATTTGACGAATTATTTTGAAATGGTACCCAGTTCTCCAATTCAGCGATTCGTGCCTTGAGATGTAAATTTTCTGTAATGAGTCTATGTAGCTCCTGTTTATTGGAATTTATAATTTCATCTTGCATTGATATTCTTGCGGAAAGTTTTTTAAATTCGCAATCGACATGGATTTTAAATGTGGAGAACTCGGTTTTATCCGACGATGACTTGTCGTTAGCAGTAGATCGCGACGTCGTGAAGCTACTATCCGTCTCGGCAAATTTTAGAGGAGATTTGTTGCACGACAAAATACACGTATTTTGAAACGAACCATCAATAAAGTCTTCAAGCGTAGCGAGCCCAGAAGCATCGACATCCGATAAATTCCTCGTGTTGAAATCGTCAATAACGGTTTTACTTTCTTCAACATTACCGACAGCTCTGATATCAGCAATCCTTGGGGTCGAAGTCTTATGGTTAGCTAAATCGGTTTCGATAGTAGGCTGCTGCAAGTTGAGAGCATATGTTGGCCGTGTTATAGTTGTTTGAGTAAACAAATTTGTTAAGAATTCTTTTAGTAAACAACCGTCGGTGCCTTGAAATAAAAGTGTATTCAGCTTGCCACGGTGCCAGTTGACTACCAAGTCGTAGTTGTTATCTATGTATCTCTTCGAGTGGCCGCCCGGCGACGACCACTTCCCAGTTAAACCAAAACCGTTTTGAAGAAATTCTTGCAATTCTTTGAGAGTATTATTCCATTTAAGTCGTTGACCGTCATATACTAGGTACGAACTATCTTTATAGAGTATAAAAGCATCAGCATTCAAGTTATTGACATTTAAATAAGCCGATTTTGTTGAGCTATTTTCAGCCGCCATGATAAGGCCGTCATCTATGGGATATATTTGCTGATACAATGTTGACTCGTTCTGCAGATCACTTTTGAAAATAAGTCGATAACTGTTTGGCAACTGCCAATTCTTTATACAGTTGTGTTGCGGCTTTTCTTTGTGAGTCATACAGCCATTGTGCCTGGTCATTCGTTAAATACTTTTGCGTAATATTGATTAATCCAGCCATTGTGCAGCTAATGAACGCTTTTGTTTTTGAGGAATGCCTTGCAAGTCATTAGTCATGTTTATGTCGTATATTATGATATTGTGTAATAACATGCCTTTAAATTTTTAGTCACTGTAATTCGAAATACAAATTCAGAACTTTTCAATCACGTAATCGTGATCGACCAAAGAACTAAAACTTCTTTAGTTGTTTTTTTTGCGGGACACTATCCGCGAGGGGGCACTAGGCCCTAGTGTCAGACAGAATAAATTAACGGCAATAATAAAGGGGAATTTCATTTTAGGCCAATCAGTAACCCAATCAGAATGCATAAATTTTGATAAAAAGTACACTATATGTCATTTTACATAAAGTAATTTAAATCTAAAAATTTAGGCATTGTGATTAAATTTGCCTAAAAAATGTAAACAAATATGCCGATTAGTTCAAAACGAAATTCCTCCTGTTCACGGTAATTAAAATCCCCTTGGGAACAACGCTATTGGTTATGAATTTCCAAACAATATTTTTATGAAAATCTACCAATGTGATTCCAGCTGTGGTTATTTTTCTTTCTTACCGGATCCGGCACTGCTAGATGTCTTCTGCTAGTCTAAGACGCCCAGCTGTCTGCGAATAGATGATAACATATTCATGGCCATAAAACAAGCGCATGCATGCATGAATGGTCAACGAAATGTAAAACATGCCTAATTATTGCATAGTTCAAAACTAGCGTCTATGGTTCCGTTGATAATTTAACGACGTTAAATGAAAGTGCTTGCATTTAATTAAGTCCAATACAAAAGCATTTTTATTGGATAATGACCCTCGAAGAGAGATTGCGAGGTTATTACTGCGATAAAAAAATAGCTTTATATGTGCACTTGAATATATTACAGCACTTGAATTTTTTACAGCACTTATCGTCAGCGAGTTAGTTAAAGCACAGTTAAAGGTAGTGGAGTTAAAACACAAACTTTGTTAGCGGTTTGGCGTTTGCCGTAAACGTCAAACAAAGGTCTCTCATAATTTATCGCTAACAACTGCATAGTTAACAAATCTTATATCGTGCTAACAAAAAGAAAGCTTTCAAGTCATTTTCATAGTTCTAAACAAGTGTTTTTTGTTCCGTAGATAATTTAACGATAAGAGAAAGACGAGCTGTGTGTATGCATTGTTGTATAATCTTTGAGGGAGAAAATGACGCATAACACACATGATATTTTGCAAGTAACAAGGTTTAAGAAAGCACAACTCGAATATCGGAAAACACTCAGACGCATGCAGTAATCATTTAAACAGGACAAAACACTAAAAGACGAAGCCCAACTCTCGATTTGTACAGGGTGTCCCAAAAAAAAGTCCCCGCTATTGAAATGAAGCTTTTGTTGGAATTTGAATGCATGATCAACGCAGTAGTGTGTAAATAGCATATTTATTAGGTTGAGGCATTCAAATAAAGCGTCTTGCTTTCAATTGGGTTTATCATAATATTAAGGCAATCAGATTCGAACAAAGGCTTGATTTCAATAGAGGGGACATTTTTTTGGGACACCCTGTACATCGGCACTCTCTTGCATTTACAACTTTGTCTTTTTTCGAAAATCATTTACATTAAATAATCCGTTCTGCATTTCTGGTTTAAAAGAGGAAAATTTGTGACACTTTTAAACTGTTAATAAAATAGACACTTAAGAATTATAGCTTTTTAACTTAATAATTATAGCTATTTTGTGTAGTTTAAAAGTGTTGGGGTTAACTTAAAAATGCGAGATTTATCGATACAGAGTACAAACTACAATACAATTTCGAAGAGTTTTGCAAGGATATTGCCTGAGATATATTTTCCTCTAAGACAGTGGCCATGCATAGGAGATAATGTAGCTGTATTTAGCGCTAAACAACTGCCTGATCAACGAGTCGTGAAATGCGTTTAAAAAAAGAAAGCTCTCAAGTCATTTTCATAGTTCCAATCCAGTGTCTATAGTTCCGTTGATACTTTAATGACGAGGCGAAGACGAAATGTCTATTTATTGTTGTATAACTTTTCAAGGTGACTGGGTGTCGCAACCTGAGTGTTCCAATTCCTCAGGCACCAGGTCAACCAGCATGAACACAGAACACTGACTCAATCCTATTATTATTACCATTAATGCATTAACAGCTCGGCTTGCCTCATCATTGATTGTACCGATGGAACAAAAGACACTTGTTTAAAGCTATGAAAATAGCTTAAGGGCTTTGCAGCTCACCAGTCGATTGTAGTATTTTTAGAGCTTGTTAGTGGAATTGCCATGCAGCGTTATTTAAAGACGATTTATTAAGAAATTGCATCGCAATCCTTTATAGGCAAAAACAGTATTTTGTGCACCGAATGTTTGAGAAAAGTCAAATCGAAATCCTCCCTGCATGAAAAACTGTCATCTATTTTGAAACAGTGTTTCGATTGATTACTTGATTGATTGATAAAGACAAACGGTCTGCGTAACTATTATGGTGTGTTTCGTCACCACTTAGGGTTGCGGCACCATGGCTACCATGCAGCGTGGGCAATTAAAAAAATAAACTGCAGTTAACTTCTATTATAACAGTTAATCGTGCGAGAATTCATGTTTAAAACGAAGAAAAAAAGAGCTGCCGCAGCAACTAGCGTAAATAATTGTCACCTGAAGCTATCATAATTGTATATCACGCGATAATTTATTTTTAAAACGTGGCAGGGAGTTCAATTTCCCAGAGCATGAAGCGTGAACTATTTAATATTCCTTTTATTTATTATGTTAAACAGTATTTCATACATGAAGTGCCATGAACAGCAACAGGCGCGAATGATTCAAAGCAATGCGACCAATGTGCTGGTATATCACGCGATATTTTGTATTCAAAGCTTTTAGGGAGAAGGGAAAATGGCAGAGCAACTAGCTTAAACGATTGACGACTGGAAATATCATGCTGGTATGTCACGCAAAAATTCATCTTTTAAATCTCGAAAGATTTGGTGGAAATTGGGAGGGAAAATGCCTTGGCAACAAGCCTGAATGAATAAATTTCCCTCCACTTTAACATGTCATGCGATAATCAAGAAGGTAGGTCCCAGAGCAACAAGCGTGGATGATTGCCGGATTGGCTGATACTGTTTCATGGCGACACATTCAGCCAAAGGGGTGGTGTTATGTTAACCTCTGATCATTTCGTATAAAAACGGCAACAGCAGGCATCGCTTGTCATTCGCAGGAGCTTTCCCTTAGTGTTTGTGCAAGTAACACTTCAAGAAAACAAGAATCCAAATACAAGTGGGATATACTTTCTGTAAGTGATATATTGAACAAGGTCATGCTCTTTGCGAGTATCGTGTAAATGTGCAGATAAACCGTTAGTAATCGTGTTTTAGGGACTATATAATATATTGGCGGAATCGTCTATATATAGATTGCAATAGCATTTTCCATTTTTATGACTTTTACACCCTGCATTTGTTTCTGCAGGAACCATGAATCGTGTTTTGTTTTTCATTATTGGAGCGACTCTCATCGTTGGCTCTTTGGGAAGATGGATTTATATTAGAGGTAGGGAAGGATAATGAACAGAAATCTATAGCCAGTATAGGGCACCGTAAGTTTGTGAAAAATGTCTTCCTCACATGTGTTGTGTTTACGTTCTCCGATTAAAAATTATTGAGCAGTAGGACTGATCCAAAAAGCCAAAGAAATATCTGGGGGGGGGGGTATGCATAGTCCAAAAGATACTTGTTTTAGTCAATGCTGGTCTATATAGTGTCGTTTTCATCTGATTTGAACTCTCTCTAAATGTAGACGAAGAACATGACTCTTTCAAAAGAGGCGAGTCATGTGAATGTGACTCAGACAGTTATGGCAGCTCTACAGGCACATCCTATTCGAGACTTTCCTACAGCGAATGTCCATCTGGAAAAAGTAGTTGTGCAGCTATTGGTTATTGGAACTATTGCTGCAAATAGAACTGAGTTCTGACATATTTTTTTTTCTCTTTTCTATTGAAAATATATTGTAACAGCATGACAATACCGAAATAAGACCGACTTCACAGTCGACATTCTGGAAAATCCTTTTCATCCCTAGCGGTTGTCCATCAGGAACAAGTGAATGTTTGTCAGCCGGCTTGTTGTGCTATACTTCTGCAAACAGAACTGATTTATTAACGTCTTTCTTTCAATAGATCCAGGCTTACATTGCTGGTAGCCTTGTAAACATATATTGTAACCGCTAGAAAAATGTGGAACAAAAGTGAGTTCACAATCAACTCCCCGGAATGCACTTTTTCTTTTAGTTTGACAGTTTATTACACAACCGCGTCGCTCTTGAGGTTTCTCCTGTCTGTACCTGTACAACCAATCTCATAGTAGATCAATGACCACCTTGGCGCTTCGCACGTGAAAGCTTCCTTATAAAGTGTGTGTGTATGTGTCAGTTCCTGATATTATACGATATACCTGATTTATTTCATATGATATTTAATTTCCAAATTTTAAGACTCTGCATTACACTGCATTGCCATTACTTTGATTGGTACACCTCGTATATTTTCGGTCAACTTGTGCGTCAAGTATTGCTTTCAATATTGAACAACCATTGGAATTAGATTTTGGTAGAAAAACTTAGCTACAATCATGCATGCCAAAGGCACACAAGAATATTTAGAGCCGGAGAACCTTAAGTTTCTAGCAAGAGTCGTATTATGGAAACCAACGCCTATATTTTGAGCTAAACCGACAAGTTACTTCTCAGCGACCCAAAGTCATTATGAATGATTTCAATGCTTATTCCACAAACCTCGAGACCAAAAGTATATAGTAGCCGATTCATTTTCTGTGTACTGGCCCTGCAGCGCTAACACGGCCTAGGCTGTTTATTCTGGTCGTAGTTCCGTTTAATAGCAATCAATAACAATCAAATATTTAGCCACATGCAGCAGGAAACAGTCAAGTTTTTGTAAATTGACCATTCATATTTCCAACTATTTTTGTCGTATGCCTGTCATGCTATGCCTGCTGAATTACAGAGAATTTGCATATGGAAATTAGCTTGAAAATTGCCAGCTTATTACTAGTAAATGAGGCGAAAATGTAGCTACAAATTTTACTTGCTTTAAGGAAGGGGTTCTTCCTCGAATTCCTTCTTCTTATTATGAGTATATTTCGGGACGTGATTATAATTTTTGTACTCGATTTTGCCAAAAGACAAATCGTCAGCAGATTATCCATAAATGAAATGTGAAAATCAAGTATTCTGTGGATTTTAGTGTTTATTGTATACGTGTTTATATGCGACTGGTTCTATGAACTTCACCGTTTTTAATTCTAAAATTTGATGTTGCAAGAGAAATAACTCTTTTTTTCTATTTATTGCTAAAGTTAGAACATTTTCACATTCTTCTACATACCACGACCAAACTCTCCAACTTTAATAATTTTAAGTTGCGCTTTTTAGCTTACATGCAATGCACGAGAAATTTTTCTATTAATACGGAATAGTCGTCAGTGCATGCGCATATTATGCACTCAATGTATGCTTATATTATATTTAGATCCAGTTCGTTATATTTATTATCTTTTGCTGCGGTGTTTTTGCAGTGCCTATACCAATCTTCTTCTTGTATTTATAAATTTCTCCGGCTAACAGCAGCGGTAAAAACACTACTTTAACTCGGTAAATGCTGAGCAAGCGTCTTGTTCCACTTAATTAATGTCTTAATGTCGGAGCAACGTGCTGGGACAAAGGAAAAATTAGGCCGCGTGGCAGAATGAATCTAGCTCGAAATATATCCAAAACTATACCATGCGTTCTCCGATAAAAATACAGAAAAATTATTGATGACATATATAATTGGTTTATTTGAAACAAGCTTGAACATTAAAATAAGACTTGGAAGCAGCTTATACTATTAAAAGTAATGCATTACAATACTAATCTATAATTTATAACAACAAGTAAAGGTGCACTTATAATTCAAAATCGCATGTTTCGAAAAGTTACGTTATTTATCAAGCACAAGCAGTCCAGGCAAATTTCACTCCATAGAGTTTTGTGTCGGAGTAAGGCCAATACTTCAGTCCAAATGATGACGTGGTTATTGAAACAGCTTCTGCCTTTATGCGAGTGTTGTATCTGCGGTCAACATCAAGAGAAGCTATGGAAACGCTGACGGAAGGTGGGTTCACGTACTGGCCGCTCAAAGCAATGGTAATTGTTTTGCCAGCGCAAGATCTAGGATAACAGTATATAAATTCGGTAGTTCCCGTTTCACCTAAACAAGAGCAGAAATTATACTCAAGGTTGACTAAAATAGGATAAATATAATTACACTGACAAGCTGTCGGAAAATAATTAAACAGCCCGCGTCGTATTAATTGTTCGTAGACTGTATATTATATTGATGCGCCAAATTTAGATTAAAAATTCATCTGGTCATGTTACTCACAGCCACACGGCTGAACGCCACGACGTTCTACAACTTCATCATCTTCTGGTGCCCTGAACCGAGTAATTCCACTATCCTCATCGCCCTGGAAAAGATTTTTCCAAATTTCTTAAAAAAGTTGCTCAGTACCCAATTGCTATATCATTACAGAAATAATACCAAGCATGCATGGAACAAGCTTATTTCCTGGGCAAGATGAAAGATGTTTTTACGTACTGTGTCCACCCTTTCGAATATCGTCTTTGCATTAACAACACAGGTAGCAATCTAAAACGTTTTCCAAATAATTTATAAAGTAAATCAATTTCTCATTTTACAAAAGCTGCTTTTGAAATGCTCAGATCATACCAGAAGAGTTGCCAGATATGTCCACAGAATTGCCATAGTTTGAAGAAAAAACTGCCAAATAAATGAGAAAGATTTTGAATATTAGCTCTTTCATTTACGGAATGTTTTCAATTATACACACCTTTAATGATTCAATTGCTCTTGAGAGACATACTATGAGCCAAAATCAGACACAACTGATGCACATTCTTTGTGTGGGAGAATGGGTCATGGGGGTGAAGTACTCCAGATTAGCATACTGTACTGTTGTACATCCCAAAAGACTCATTAAGGCCTTATGCTTTCCTCCTGTGGGGGATCTATAAGCCCCACTAGGAGAGACTGAATGCCCTATAGGGGTGATAATCCCCAATAGAGCCCTGCTAGAAGGGTCGCGACCCCATCTAACATCAACCTGAACCACGAGGTCATAATCTCCTTGGCCAGTCCCTACGATTCGACTGAATATATGTACATTAAGATAATTTGAGTCTATGGGCCTGAAGGTGATCATTGGGAGCACTTCAACCCCACATGACCATTTTATTTATTACTACCAAGCTGAAAATAAATACAGCAAAATACAGGTGCATGCTTTACATATTAGATTTTAATACGTCCTGAGGTACGGTAGCAGTGTACTCCAATGTTTGCATTGTTTCTAAGATATCCGTGACGAAGGTGCTTCCAGTGTTCTCCTTCTTACAAGTGCGTATCCCGACTAAACGGTGTGGGTGGGTGGGTAAAAGTTTCGCAGCTTTGTAACCTGTAGTGTGCCTCGTTGGGACTTTAGAACACAGTGACTTTCAGCAAGCATGCTTTGTCTTTTGTGTTCGTATTCCTGGTTTTTGATTGGTTAAATTCATGTCAAATTACGCAGGCAATATTCTGATTGGTTGTAGGAATTTTGTGTCATCTGCTGTGCACGTGCACCAAAGATGAATACGAAGTAACCTTTGATATTTCGGACCTAATAAACCGGATGACCTTTCATCACCCTCGGCCGCATGTTTTAGTTGTGATAGCCTGAAGCTGCAATAAAATTGCCCTTTGCCCTGCCACGAGCATTGCTCCATTAACTTAAATTTATATATGTTTTATATAAATTGGCTTTAAACATACTGTACTGTTGTACATCCCAAAAGACTCATTAGGGCCTTATGCTTTCCTCCTGTGGGGGATCTATAAGCCCCACTAGGAGAGACTGAATGCCCTATAGGGGTGATAATCCCCAATAGAGCCCTGCTAGAAGGGTCGCGACCCCATCTAACATCAACCTGAACCACGAGGTCATAATCCCCTTGGCCAGTCCCTACGATTCGACTGAATATATGTACATTAAGATAATTTGAGTCTATGGGCCTGAAGGTGATCATTGGGAGCACTTCAACCCCACAAATACACAAAGTGTATTCCCCATAGACGAAAAGAGGCCCACACAGAATGCAAATTGTACGAAACATATCGATAGGCCTATATGAAGATATATGCGCAGACCGCATACACAACTTTTTTTTTCTTTTTTTTTTTTTTTTTAGTATAATATTACTCTCCCTTTTTGCAGTATATTTAAGTGCTAGTGTTGGCCAGCATGGCTGATACTCCTGATAACATAGAAGTAGGTGTCTGAATATACCGTTCGTAGCAGTCAGATGACCACCGCCCTAAGGTTTTAATAAGCCATGATGGTAATTTGGCTTCTGCTGCAGTTGTTGCCGCACCTATTCTGTAGCTATGACCAGCATAATTCAACGCCTCGAAGCCAGATTTAGTGAGCAGCTTCCTAGTTTCGGTGGTTAAATTTTGTTTCGTGAGAGGTTTTCCCGATGCATGGATAAACAAAGGACAATTCGTGGATGGTTGTAGCGACAGATAGTTTTGTAAAGCTTGTACTGGACAAATGTCCGAATTAGTGGCCCCGACTGTTATAGTATGACCCAGGCGAAATGGGTCAGTCTTGGACTCCTTGATACGAACTGTCATGAAATCGGGACCATTTGTGCCCGTTCTAGGTGCAAAGAGGATCCTATCTCGGGTAAGATGTATGCTCGGATTGAATTTACAATTGCATGTTAGCTCTCCGAGGCGGAGAAACCCAAAAAAGGCTAATGTCATGGCTGCCCATATCATCAGAGAGTCAAAACTTGGGGTGTTGGATATGCCAAGTAATATTCTAAAAAGCCGCAAATGGTGGATTGTGATTGGGAGGCGGACTCTAGTTTTGTCTCCATGGGAGCGTTTAATTCCTCGTAGCACAAGTTGCAGGCGTAACATTTTGTGCAAATTCAACTGGAAACCATGCCGAATGTGGTAGTGGCGGACTGCTGCTAAATATGTTTTTATGGAAGGATATTTGATAGATTTTGCGAGAAATGCAACGAATTCTGTCAACAGAGCTTCATCAGCTGGTAGAACCTGCTCGATATTTTTTCTCTTGTATAACTGTATGAATGTAATAAAACGTTTTTCTCCAGAACTATAGGTTTGTTGTGTTGCAGATGCAAGAGATAAACTTATATAATGTTGGATGTCCTCATTCAGAGAGTCATTAAAATTTCTGGAATTTGGCAAGGACTGGTATCTGCATCGGGAGCCAATTGTCGAAATCTCTGCAATTGAAAACGAGAAATTGCATCGGCTATGTCATTGTGTTTGCCCGGAATATGCACGGCACGGATGTATATATTGTGGCGTAAGGTTAGGAGTGTTAGATGACGCAGTAAGTCCATAACCCTGGGGATTCGGGAACGTTTAGTATTAATAATGGTCACCACAGCCTCATTATCACAATGAAACTTGATCCGGCGGTCCCGAAGGAGGTCACCCCAGATGTGACATGCTACAACTATTGCAAAGAACTCCTGCCAAGATATACTTATACCAGGCTGGCCTAGTTTTTGATTTGGTTTCCATGCTCCCTGAAACCACTTCTTCCCAAAAATACCCCCAAACCCCAATGAGCCAGAGGCATCAGTATGTAGCACTAAAGTATCAGAGTCATGCCACTCTGAAGACAGAAAGAAATTTGCCCCATTCCAGTTGGAAATAAACTTCCACATTTCAAGATCTTGGAAGAAACCGGAATTTAGCTTAATGTGGTGATGAGATTTCTTGATATTTCTTGTTAGAGCGATCATGCGTTGTAAGAAGGGCCGCCCAGGAGGCACTACCTTGCATGCAAAGTTTAGGGTGCCTATTAAGGACTGTAATTCTTTTAGAGTACAGGACCGTCTGTGTTGAAATTGCTCAAAGATTGCCTGCAGCCTCTCAATTTTGTCTAGAGGTAGACTAGCTTTCATGTTTACCGTGTCTAATAGGATCCCTAAAAACTCGAGTACTTGCGAGGGGCCCTGTGTTTTCCCTGGGGCTATTGGGATATTGATGTTTCCGAAGGTAGATAACATTTTTGTTAAACTTTCCTGGAAAACCCCATCTAAAGGCGGTGCATCTGCTGGGGGCTCAATGAGAAGAAAATCATCAAGAATATGACATACAAATGAGATGTTACACTTATGGAGTAGAATCCATTCCAGGGCATCGGAAAGTCGGTTAAAGATGGATGGGGCACTCCGTAACCCAAATGGTAGAACCTTATCATAATAATATTTCCCCTCCCAGCACATGCCTAGCAGCTCATAGTCATCAGGATGGATTGGTACTAGCCTAAAAGCTGATTCAATGTCGGTTTTAGCAAGAAAGCAGCCTGAGCCGAAACGCTGAATACCCTTGATAGCATCGTCTTTTGTGATATACTGGAGACTGAAATCTTCTTTCGAAATGCTATGATTTATGCTGGTTGAGCCGGATTTTGGATAAGACAAATGAAAAATTGTGCGAAATTTGTTTGAATTCTTTTTAGGTACCAAGCCAATTGGTGAAACCTGAAAATTCTGAAAAGGGGGGGAGTCAAAAGGGCCAGCCATGCGACCAAGAGAAACTTCAGTTGCTAAGTTCGAGGAAACGATTTCCGGATTGGCGAAAGCAGTAGGCAAATTTTTTGAAAACCTGGCAGTGCGTTGCCCCTGAAAACCTATGTGCACACCGTGAGTAAAAATGTTACAAAGCTCTGAAACAAAACTTTTGTCTGGGTGACCAGACAGGGCTTCGTCTAGGTTTTGGACAGAAACAGGGGTAGGTAATGGTGATACGTCAGTCGTGTTTTGATCTTGACGTTTTGTGACTTCGTTTTGAGATGTGCTCATTATCCTCAACTTGTTTGGGTTTGATGGAGGGGCAGAGATACCCTGGGTGTAGTTGATTGCACCTGTTGCATGTGTGGCGGTATTGGCATGACTGCCGGGAACACCGACCCATTCGGTTGAACTCATGGCAAGAGCCTCCTCGTTCGCCCCCTGAGGAAGCCCGGTTTTGGGGTCCATTGGAAAAATTAGGATATTGTCGTGCAAGCATATCTGGTGCTATGGTAAATATCATCAGCCATAGTTGTTGATCAATAATGGACCAGTCAAGACTAGGGTTAAGAGCAGCTTTACATCGGAATTTGTGGTCGTATATACACCAACCCAGGCCCTGATGAGTTTGGGCTGCGTGGCGTATCAAACTCATATATTGGATAAGTTCTTGGGCCCGACCAGGAAATTGATGGGTTAAAACGCTCATGTACGAGGTGTACGCGGTTGTCCACAGTTCAATATCGGTGATTCGAGCGGTTGGCTGAGATGCTTTTTTCGCCTTAATCACCGTGTTGTCAAGCGTTAAGACTAAGGGCTCATCGGACTGGTTACCTATCGACATGTTTTTAGGTAAAAGTTTAGCTAGGTCAAAGAACTCACCCGACTGTATTTGCTTGACATATGTCGCAGGAACCTCGTGGAAGCCATTTCCGTAGGGAATTCGCTGTGCAGCGTTGGTCGCCTGATTTGCGGTTAGTATGGAAATATTCTCGCCTTCGTGCGCGTCGCTTTCGGCTGGGACGACTGGAATTCTGTTGTTGGCCGCGTTGCTCTCACTGGCACAAGACGTCGAGTTTAACACTGCTTGGACGGCAGCCCGGGCTGCGTTGGACGCTATCTCGGTCGCTGCTTGTTCAACGCACCTGGAGACGATCGACTTAATTTGCGCCTGCTGCATTTCTGAAAGTGGTTGTTGTTCCGTAGGCAAAGTTGGCGATACAGTAGGCGCTGGTTGCGGGTCTTCGTTTGTCGACACAGGTAAATTGATATTCGTTGTGGCGTTGTGTTGTAAGCGAGCCACTAACGCATTTCGACGTCCATGTGTTGGTAGTCCTTTTTCGGCGCACTGTCTTCGGAGACTTGTAATAGTGACCGCTCCATTATTTCTGCTGTTGGATTCGTTTTGGTTTGGCGCACTTCCTCTGTTTGCGGTTCTTATTCTCACGCGTCGCACGGGAGGCATAACGATGAATTATTTATAAGCAATGTATGAATAAAAAGTTTAAAAGTTTCGCAGCTTTGTAACCTGTAGTGTGCCTCGTTGGGACTTTAGAACACAGTGACTTTCAGCAAGCATGCTTTGTCTTTTGTGTTCGTATTCCTGGTTTTTGATTGGTTAAATTCATGTCAAATTACGCAGGCAATATTCTGATTGGTTGTAGGAATTTTGTGTCATCTGCTGTGCACGTGCACCAAAGATGAATACGAAGTAACCTTTGATATTTCGGACCTAATAAACCGGATGACCTTTCATCACCCTCGGCCGCATGTTTTAGTTGTGATAGCCTGAAGCTGCAATAAAATTGCCCTTTGCCCTGCCACGAGCATTGCTCCATTAACTTAAATTTATATATGTTTTATATAAATTGGCTTTATTTTGGGGCTGTTCACATGAGCCCGGTTACCCGAGATTCAACAAAGCGTGAGAGGACTTTGAGGTGTTGAAATAAGTTTTTAAGACGCTAAACAAGCACATGCTATTGTTGTGGTGATTATATGACTGCCAGGATTATGTTATCTGCTCATTTCAATACCTCAAAATCATCTCACGCTTCGTTGAATCTCGAGTAACCGGGCTCATGAAAACAGCCCCTTATAGACGGGAGTTAAATCTGTGGTAAAAGACTATAAATTACCTACTTTTCAACGCTTAAATTAAGTTAACATTCTGTCTATATAGGTGTGAATCGATCGTCTCTCCTTTCTATAACATTATATGTAACATTGTTGCGTAATATCGATAGTGCTTGTGAAAGAAGCTCAGTTTGACTGTTTGATCATGTGTCTCGCTTGCTTTACCTCGGCTCTGATCTTCTTACCGCAATTTGCAAGGTGAAAGCTGTCTTATCGTGTTGCATATAAATTACAATGGTAGTTTACAAGTTTTTTACTTCTGCCTTGCTAAAGAAGACCTCAGACGAAATAAAAATTATACAGTGAAGAATAATAATGCAGTTTTAACCTGCTGTGTTCTCAGTGATGCAAGTATAAGGTTGTCATACCGCCTTCATTATTCGGAATTTGGAAACGTGGTATTATGCGGACACGTACAGCCTAATTTTACCCGGAGAACAGGGTATTGATATAGCATAACAATGATTCAGACCTTACTCGCATCTAGCCATAGCACAAATAACCTCGGGATGAGTTGGCAGGTACTCAGGTGTGACCGTGCAGTTGCATGCATGTGTATGCAAATTAACAAACCCAAACTTCTGATTCATTAGAAAGAAGGTACATTATACCACTTTTCGTCTTGCATGACACGGCCAAATAACTAACAATCTGCCATCAAATGTATATAACTATACTAACATTCCTAACGAGGAAATAAAAGATGCGGTAGCTAGGCTGTGTAAACCCACTTCAACGAAATCTCTAAGACTAAGGAAAAATAGCAAGACTTACCAAAAGTTCTCAGTTCTTCGCTACAAAAGAAAATTGAAACAATTTTTCTTCATCTCAATAATTAAGTTAAGAAACTTGAACAACTCTCTTGTAATATACATGTAAAAATAAATCTATAGATGTCAATGGTTCAAACTAATTCTCACATTTCTCTGTTTTTTACTTTGTTTGTCCTTATATTATGTATATATATCCTGATAGTGTGTGACGGCCATATTAGGAAAAAATACCGTCTTGGTAATAATGATGTTAATCCTCTGTCAATATAGATTTGATAATAATAATAATTAATATAATAATAAACTTTATTATATGTGTATAGAGATTTATGCACAGCAGAATAATGAAATAAAAATCGTATTTCACTGTGCAAATTAATTTCATGCAATTTGATTGGACGTACGATGTTTTTCACGTGTGAAAAAATGCCATACACAGCTTTTGATTGGACGTACGATATTCTTCACACGTGAAAAATTGTCGTATGTCATTTTGGCGGCAATTTGTTTACATTTTCTTTCAAGATGGTGTCGAAATATAGGAGTGAGATTCAAAAAATAATTCTCATATTCAAGATATTTTTACATTCAGCACATTCTCAAATCTTTCGGAAAGAATGTCTAACTTCTATTGAACAAAATTACAAAGAAACTGAACGGTAATAAATATGTTTTCATGCATAAAGTTTCGATTTTGTTGCTCGCTGTGTTTTTGTATATTTAAAGCGTGTCGTTATCAAATTGATCTCTATACACATTTAATAAACAAATTACTTCATGGTTGGCTCGTTTGTACGATTTTTATTATGCACTCGTTGCGAAGGATCGCAAACTCACTCGATCGCTGCGCTCACTCGTTCGTATTGCGATCCTTCACAATTCGTGCATAAAAATCGTACGCACTCGCCAACCATGAAGTAATCTCTATATATTTGAGTGCGAAATTGAAATCTGGTTTATTTAGTTCGAATGTAAAGCGCTGTAAAGTGTAAACAGTGGCCGCGAAAAATCGTTAAGTATACATTCTTGTTATCCAGACCGTAAAACAAACAATTTCAAAAGAAACTACCATGCTGAACGCAAATGAATATTATACTCCTCCCCCTCCCTCCCACCGGCTGAAAACGAGATGTTGTTTCAAAGGGCTCATTGCAATATTTTCATTAATGTTATTCCAATGCGGTCCATTCTTCAAAGAATTTTCTGCAATTTCTCTCGTTTTAGCCGTCGTTCGCGAGCTTTTGTCGTTCTGAACCTTGAAGCTCCCTGTAAGGCGGCGTCGCATCTTCTCAATTCCCATCAATTCTTCATATAGTTGTATCATGCAGTGCCCAGATATTGAGACATTCAATTGATATGTTTATTATAGAACTAATATCAGTATTGAAGCAGAACGGCACAAAATAGAGTGAGTGGCTGGAATATAGAGTGAGTTGTGGGAAATTAATGTTTCAAAACACTGCGTCTGTGTTGTAGCAGCGATGTTATCACCATGACCATGCATGCTTGCACATCCATTTTGATTTCTGGCCATGGTTTCAATTTTATCGGACATATTGTCCTAAGTTGAATCAAATATCAGGATTCATTTAAGACTTCTTATCTTATAGTATATGCTTACATAACGAGACATAATATGCTTGCATGTAAATACCGTAACATATATAAAGAAGCCCGGCATAGACAACTTTACCCAATGCAATGCTTTTACTATATAGGGGCAAAGTTTTAGTGAAAGATTAATTATAGTGTACACAATACCCATCTCACTATTTCAATTCCTTGCCAACCGAGCTAAAACTATTCAAAAATTATTTTTTAAACCCTACAAGAGGAAATCGAAAAAATTTTCTTGATCTCAATAATCAAGTTGAGAAACTTAAGCAACTCTCTTGTAATACATGTAAAAATACAGATCTAGATGTGAGTGCGAGATTGAAATCTAGTTGATTTAGTTCGAATGTAAAGCGCTGTAAAGTGTAAACAGTGGCCGCGAAAAATCGTTAAGTATACATTCTTGTTATCCAGACCGTAAAACAAACAATTTCAAAAGAAACTACTATGCTGAACACAAATAAATATTATACCCCTCCCCCTCCCTCCCAATGACTGAAAACGAGATGTTGTTTCAAAGGGCTCATTGCAATATTTTCATTAATGTTATTCCAATGGCAATGCGGTCCATTCTTCAAAGAATTTTCTGCAATTTCTCTCGTTTTATTCGTCGTTTGCGAGCTTTTGTCGTTCTGCTCCTTGAAGCTCCCTGCAAGGCGGCGTCGCATCTTCTCAATTTCCGTCAATTCTTCATAGTTCTATCATGCAGTGCCCAGATATTAGGACATTTAATTGATATGTTTTATTATAGAACTAATATCAGTATTGAAGCAGAACGGCACGATGGCTGAAATAGAGTGAGTTGCGGGAAATGTTTCAAAACACCAGATCTGTGCCGCAGCAGCATCATTACCACCATGACTATGCACATCCATTTTGATTTTCCTATGAACCGCAGTACTGCTCATATTCTTGAAGTTCCATTCGTACACATGCACGGGCTCCTGCATAATAATGTCTAATGACTAATATCATATTTAATGAATATATATAATATGTGTGTACATGATCTAGTTCATAAATTTATTAATATCTTATCCTGCGCTGTTTTTGCAGTGCCTACCAATCTTCTGCTTTTATTTATAAATTTCTCCGGCTAAAATCAGCAGTAAAAAAACTACTTTAGCTCGAGTAAAAGTCTAAATGCTTAGCAAGCGTCTTGTTCCACTAAAGGAACAACAACACTTGCGATACATTAGCTATGCATAATTTGTGGTCCCATGACAGCATTAGGGAGTTTACGATCTACGACGCGGTTAGCTCGACGTCGCTAGTCAATTATTTTGCTTCAAATGAGCTACAGAAAATTGATTATGCTGCTAGGGCTCTGAAATAATCATACAAACGTTTTAATTGTGCAAATAACTTCCAATATCTATCTGATATTGCAGTTTCATTTAAGCTATCACGTTGCCGCTGCTTTCATGTCATCGAGAGGCCATGAAAATGCTTCATTTGAAGGCGTCGTAAGAATGACAACGCTGTCATCAGTGTCATGGGACCACAAGTTATGCATAGCTATTGTCTCGCGTGTGGAGTTTCTTTGTTTTGCAAGCGCGTTGTCGAGCTGGCCGCGTCGTGAATCGTAAACTCCCTATTGTCATTCTTACGACGCCTTCAAACGAAGCATTTTCACGGCCTCTTGATGACATGAAAGCAGCGGCAACGTGATAGCTTAAATGAGTGATAGCTTAAACTGCAATATCAGATAGATTTTGGAGGTTATTTGCACAATTAAAACGATTGTATATATGATTATTTCAGAGTCCTAGCAGCATAATCAATTTCCTGTAGCTCATTTAAAGCAAAATAATTGACTAGCGACGTCGAGCTAACCGCGTCTTAGATCGTTAACTCCCTATGTCTTAATGTCGGAGCAACGTGCTGGGACAAAGTGAAAATTAGGCCGCGTGGAAGAATGAATCTAGCTTGAAAATATATCCCAAACCACGCGCTCCCCGATAAAAATACAGAAAAATTATTGATGACATAATTGGTTTATTTGAAACATTAAGCTTGAACATTACAATAAGACTTATACTATTAAGAGTAATGCATTACAATACTAATCTATGATTTACAACAACAAGGAAAGATGCACTTATAGTTCATAAACTCATGTTTCGAAAAGTTACGTTATTCATCAAGCACAAGCAGTCCAGGCAAATTTCACTCCATAGAGTTTTGTGTCAGAGTAAGGCCAATACTTCAGTCCAAATGATGACGTGGTTATTGATACAGCTTCTGCCTTTATGCGAGTGTTGTATTCGTGGTCAACATCAAGAGAAGCTATGGCAACGCTGACGGAAGGTGGCTTCACATACTCCCCGCTCAAATTAATGGTAATTGTTTTGCCAGCGCAAGATTTAGGATAACAGTATACCCATTCGGTATTTCCCGTTTCACCTAAACAAGAGCAGAAATATTATACTCAAGGTTGACTAAAATAGGATAAATATAACTACACTGACAAGCTGTCGGAAAATAATTAAACAGCCCACGTCGTATTAATTGTTCGTAGACTGTAAATTCGAAAGGGTCAAAACTGCCTCCAAAATGGTAGATTCGGGGTATTTTTGACCTCTTGAATTAACGGTACATGCACACATTAGTGGGAGGAGACAGGGGGGAGGGAACCATTGCGTCTTCCACGTTTCGCTTAAATAAGAGCAGAAATATAGCTACCTAAGGTTGACTAAACGGGGATAAATATAATTATACTGACAGGGGGTAATTGTAATTATACTGACAGACTGTCCAAAAATAATTCAACAGCACAAGTTGTTTCAATTGTACTGTAAATTCAAAGAGAATATTTCAACAATGAATATCTCAGTTGTCATGCTACTTACATCCACACGGCTGAACGCCACGACGTTCCAACGCCGTTTCATCTTCTGGTGCCCTGAATCGAGTAATTCCATTGTCCTGAAGAGGTTTATTCAAATTTTTCAGGAAATAGTTCTGTGTCCAAACTATTATATCCTTGTGACGATAACACCTGGCGCTGCAGGGAGGGGGGGCAAGGGTATTTTTGCGATCTGTGATTAGCATCATTTCTGTATTGTGATGCGTGATTTAAGAAAATGCCATTCCGTGAATCGTGATTAAAATGCGTTCCGTGGCTCGCGAAGACCTAAAACGCTGGCAAAGACATCTTATTTTCCCAAATATTTTACCACTATTTATAATTTTGTAGATTAAATACTGGGCTCGAACTAAACTAAAGGTAAAATAATCAAAACAGTAGCTTTCCGCCTAATTTCCCGGTCTTTCTTCGTGATTCGTGAAATCTTAAAAACACGTTTGTGATTTCGTAACAAGACCCCCCCTTGCCCCCCTTTGCCCCCCCCCCCCCGCTCTGCAGGATTTCTTTTATTGGGCAACACCATGCAAAAGATATTTACATACCGTGCTCACCCTTTCTAATACCGTCTTTGCATTAACAGCACAGTCAGCAATCTAAAACGTTTTTAAATGGTCAATAAATCTTCAAAAAATTGTAAATTAATTTATTATTTAAAAAAAACGGCCAGCAGCCGTTTAAAATGTTCAAATTATACCAGAAAAGTCGCCAGAAATGTCCACAGAATTGCCATGGTTGAGTAAAAACTGCCAATAAGAAATTTTGAAAATTAGCTATGGCTTTCTTTGACGGAAAGTTCCGATGACAAACTTTATTAAGACTAGAGTTAGCTACTAGCTAGAGTAAAAAACTATGAAATTACCTACATATATAACACTCTTCGATGCTCAAATTAACCTTGATAACACTCTGTCTATAGGTCTGCATGCATCGATCGTCTCTCCTTTCTACATTATATGTAACATTGTTGCATAATACCGATAGTGCTTCTAAAAGAGGCTTAGTTTGACTATTTTGTTGATAAATAAGTGTGTCTCACTTGGTTTATCCTATCTTACTAATGCGGACACGTACAGCCTAATTTTGCTTGACGATCAGAGTATTGATACAGCATAACATAAAGATTTAGAAAGATAACCTCGAAATCAGTTGGCTGGTTTTGCATGTAACGTGCGGCTGTGTCCAAATTATATAACAAATCGATACTTCTGATTCATTCAAGGTATGGTACATTATACCAATGATTAGATTTCTACGCTATCTCTAATATCACCAACGATCTTTTCTTAAACGGACTACCATCAATGTATATATGCTAACATTCCAGACGAGAAAATAGAAAATGCAGCAGGCTTCGTAACCCATCTCAAACTAAATCTCTAAGAAAAAATGTTCGAAAGACTTACCAAAAGTTTTCAATTCTTTGATGCTTGAGTGACTTGCGAAGTTCACTTGATGCTTGTTCTTCAGCTATGAAAGGGTTCTTGCTGCCTGGCTCTATTTATATGATCAGCTTGCCATGAGAAGCTGGAGGTTCTAAACGCTGAATCACATCCACACTCCCTCCCCTCCACAGCTCGTGCATGTCGTTCTGCTGTTTGACGTTTCCTGTTTGAATATTGACAGGTGACGCATCTTAAGTTGTTAATTTCCGTCAACTCTTTACAGTTGTAACACGAATGCTTTGGCACTATGCGCCATGGCGTTGAACCGAATTTTTATGTTGAATTGAATTGAATATGTTTTATGAATTTTGTTTGGGATGGAAAACTGGAGGTTCTAAACGCTGAATCACCCCCCTCTCAATTGTTATATAGGTGCTGTGTATTTTAAATGTGATTGGTTCATTCGTAGTCACATGACTTTAAATAAATGCATCGTTGCCCGCTTCTTGTCATAACAAAGTTAAGTGGTTTTTTTAATGAAATTGTTGTGTAACATGCACGTTCTTGTTCCTATATAACAAAACACTTAATGTACATTACATTTACCTCGCAGCGTTCTCACTTTCAAGGAAATTCCCTTAGAAAAGTTTGACTTTATCGAGGGCAGGGGCCAGGGAAAAATGGTTAATATACTCTTTTCACTGAAATGTTCTTTGTCTCAGGTTATTCAAAACAACCTCCCCCTCAGTAAAAGGTATGCATATTTAAATTGTGAGAGCACAGCTACCTTGGGAAATAGTGAGTTTGTTTCCCCTCGAGTCTCAATGTTTCCCTCGAAGACTCTTGGGAAAACCAAACTCACTATTTCCCTTGGGAGCATACATTAGGTGTACAGGGTGTCTCAAAAAAAAAGAAAACTATTGAAATCACTCATTGTTAAAATTTGAATGCCGTGTTAACGAATTTTAGCCCGTGGGGATATAATGCAACTTATAAAATGCTAAACACGGAAAATTTAAAATTGTGTACATGATTAAATTTAAATTAGCCTTATGATTGCTTCGAATGAAAAAGGTACAGCTGACCGCGGAACAACGAGTGTTTATTGTGATAAATTATACGCGCACCCAAAGTACAACGGAAGTGCGAAACGCTTTTCGACAAAGGACAAATTGTAAATTTTGTTAATAAATATTTTTGCGTACAAACAAATTTTACTGCATCGTGCATAAAAATGCTAATGGAAAACATTTACACGCTTGTGGGTCCCAATAGAGTGCTTAGGCATTCAAACTCTAACAATTACATTGTTATGGTTGATTTCAATAGTTTTCGGTTTTTTTGAGACACCCTGTATATTATTCTAGACAATACATGCCCGCAACAAGGAACAATGCAGTGTGCAACAGCTGTTAAAACCACCATGATTAAGCATAAAATATTGATTGCTCTCTTTTCATTTAAGAAACTGTTATACGCGGTTTTCTTGCAACTTGTGATGCTATTCTACTTTTGAGAGATGCAAATTTACTGACAACTACGAAATTTTATGTTTATTTCACTTTTGCTAGAGATAGTCAAATGACATGATAAAATATGAGCCTTCTAAACTCGTACAATTCGCATCTGTACAAACAAATATGCAGATTTGGTGTTTCAATTCACTGACTAATTTAGCCATCGCGTCTTTCTGCTGCTTGACGTTTCCTATATGAATATTAATAGGTGACGCGTCTTAAGTTGTTAATTCCGACAACTCTTTACAGTTGTATCACGAATGCTTTGGCACTATGGGCCATGGCATTAAATCGAATTTTGTTAAATCATAATATTTTATAACATCAGTCGAGATCGGTAATTTTATTTGGCATGGGAAACTGGAAAGAGATGGCAAGTAGCTGTTACAACCACCATTAGGCATAAGATATTGATTGCTCTCTTTTCATTTAAGAAACTGTTATACACGGTTTTCTTGCAACTTGCGATATAATTCTACTTTTGAGAGATGCAAATTTACTGACAACTACGAAATTTTATGTTTATTGCACTCTTGCTAGAGATGGTGAAATGACATGATAAAATATGAGCCTTCTAAACTCGTACAATTTGCATCCGTACAAAACAAAATATGCAGAGTTGGTGCTATTTTAGCCATGGTGTCTTTCTGCTGCTTGACGTTTCCTATATGAATATTGACAGGTGACGCATCTTAAGTTGTTAATTTCCGTCAACTCTTTACAGTTGTATCACGAATGCTTTGGCATTATGGGCCATGGCATTGAACCGAATTTTGTTATTTTATAATATTTTATAACATCGGTCCAGAACGGTAATTTTATTTGGCATGCGAAACTGGAGGCTCTAAACGCTGAACCATCCCCTCTTCCTTCCACAGCCCCACTACACAAGGGCAATTATTCTAGACAATATTTAATGAACGATGCAGTGTTGCGAAACGCTAAAATACCACAATAATCAAAAGAGATGTTGTGTTCCAATCTAAGGATATTTCTGTAATGAAATTATTATTTTTCTATGAATCAACTGGCAAATGCTATAAAAGTGGAAAGAGTTGGCGAGTGGCTGTTAAAACCACCATGATTATGCATAAAATATAGATTGATCTCTTTTCATTTAAGAAACTGTTAAGGCCCACACCGTCAGGACGCGAATTGGCAACGCGCCGCGAATTTTCATTGCCGCTTCGCGTCCGGTCTGTGCCAACCTTTATACACGGTATTCTTGCAACTTGCAATGCTATTCTACTTTTGAGAGATGCAAATTTACTGACAACTACGAAATTTTATGTTTATTGCACTCTTGCTAGAGATGGTCAAATGACATGATAAAATATGAGCCTTCTAAACTCGTACAATTTGCATCCGTACAAAACAAAATATGCAGAGTTGGTGTTTCAATTCACTGACTATTTTAGCCATGATGTCTTTCTGCTGCTTGACGTTTCCTATATGAATATTGACAGGTGACGCATCTTAAGTTGTTAATTTCCGTCAACTCTCTACAGTTGTATCACGAATGCCTTGGCACTATTGGCCACGGGATTGAACCGAATTTTGTTATATTATAATATTTTATAACATCGGTCCAAACCGGCAATTTAATTTGGCATGGGAAACTGGAGGTTCTAAACGCTGAATCACCCCCTCCACAGCTCACTACACCAGGGCAATTATTCTAGACAATACATGCAATGAACGATGCAGTGTTGCAAAACGCTAAAATACCACAAAATTTAAAAGAGATGTTGTTTTCCAATCTAACGTTATTTTGTAATGAAATTATTTAGTATATATGAATCAACTGGCAAATGTTATAAAACTTAAAGAGTTGGCGAGTGGCTGTTAAAACCACCATTAGGCATAAAATATGGATTGCTCTTTTTTCATTTAATTGGCAAGTTGTTAATTCCGTCAATGGGCATCGCTCTCTTTTCATTTCAAGAAACTGTTACATGGTTTCGTGCAACTTGCAATGCAATTCAGCCTATTCTACTTTTGAGAGATGCAAATTTAATAACTAAGACATTTTATGTTTATTTCACTCTTGCCAGAGATATGCCGGGCGGGAAGCAGTGTATTTGGATGATAAATATTAATCCGTATTACTCTCATATCAAATGACTTGGTAAAATACAGCCTTGTAAACTTGTAAAATTTGAATCCGTACAAAACAATAGTGTTTCAATTCGCTGACTGTTTTAGCCATTGTGTCGTTCTGCTGCTTGACGTTTCCTATAGAATATGAAAAGGTGACGCATCTTAAGTTGTTAATTTCCGTCAACTCTTTACAGTTGTATCACGAATGCTATGGCATTGAAGCAAACTTTGTTATGTTAAGGATTAGGGCACTCTGTGAGTGCGTTATCTGGTTTTGCCATAGGCGGCCCAATGGTTTTCTTTGAAGTAGAAATGTACTCTTTGATGAAATTCATACATATGTAATTTATTTACTTGCTGATATACTTAAATCCTTTACTTACAACGGGCGACTTGCATGTCCGACAAGGCAATGTAGGTAGCTATTATATGGTATAAGACTAGACGTTACTATCGCAAGTGAAGTGCTGCCTCACAGGCAAAGGGTATAGCCACAGAACACAAGCAGATAGAACTACAGCAGAACAATGTACACAAAAGTGTTTACTGTGATGTTTGTTCAGAGTTATCAAAAGGAGTATTAAGCTCTGAAAGTACCATCCATTCTTCTTTAGTATTTTCTTGCCCTTCGCAAGGTTCATCTTCTGGATCTTGTTGATTCTGAATAACGTTTTGAAGTTTGTCAAACCAATCTGGAAATTTTTGTAACTATATGGTGTTTGTAGGAATTCGTGCCAATGACTTATAAAGATCTCCTTGACTTATAAAGATCTTGGTCCTTTTGGGTTTGGAGATTAAGTTGGAAATAAACATCACAAGTGAACATTACCGTAATTGTCGTTGAAGACCTAATATATTTGGACTATTAGAGGAGTACTCCAAATGTTTTTATAATTGCCACTTGGGAAATTGTTGTGTTAATTTTAAAAGTAGTTAATTAAAATATGTATTATAGAAGTTATGCTATATTTTGATCCACTTACGTAGTATTCGGTTATTTGTGCAAATGTATCTTTTCTCCCTCACTATAATGATTAATACATGTCTATGCGTCCAGCCGTGACGCCGTCCATTACGCGTAAAAGAACTTGCAAGTTCATTGTCAATATACAATACCAATGATCTCGCATAAACGCGGAGAGACACATTTACAAATCGATATTTTGACTACATACACAAATACATACGAGCTCATGATCAATAACAATGATAACAAGAAATGTGAGTCGTGTGACGTTATGCAAATGGTTGCATAAATTTCGCATAAATTTACGCGGACAGACAGACAGACATTTACAAATCGAGGTTTTGACTACATACACAAATACATACGTCGCGCTAAAGACTGGGTCGAATGAACTCTGGCGAAATGTTAGCCTACCCTGCCAAGAATAGGAAGCTGCCTTCGGCAGCAAATATATGTTTTATATCCTCTTTTAATGCTTCAATGGTCAAATGCTTTTCCTATGTAAAGTTGCAAGCATGTTTCGTGCTCATATACAAACATTAAACAATACAACCATTCTTTGGTTATGATGTCAAATATTTTGATATGGATAACCACGCTGTTTTAATGGTCAAATACTTGTCCTATGTAAAGTTTTAAGCATGTTTCGTGTCCATATACAAACATTAAACAATGTAACCATGCTTTAATTATGATTTCAAATATTTTGACATGGATAACCACGCTGTTTTAATGGTCAAATACTTGTCCTATGTAAAGTTGCAAGCATGTT